CCCCAAGCAGGGGATGTGGAGCTGGGATACGGTGACACCAAAACCCTCCCCCTGTCCCCTCCATCACCCCTGCAGCAATCCCAGCACCTCTGGGGGGCTTTGCCAAAGCCAAAGCACTGCAGGGGTGTCACCCCAGGCACAGGGTGGGATTTTTGGGGCTGGATGTGCAGTGAAGGAGCCGATCCCATTGACCCTCGTTCAGAAAATTCCATGATCCCCGAGCAAGGAGCACCGTGGCCGAGCAGGGGTGACACCGGGACTGTCCCCTGGTCCCCTCCATCATCCCTGCAGCAATCCCTGCACCTCTGGGTGGCATTGCCAAACCCAAAGCACTGCAGGGAGGTCACCCCCAGACACAGGGTGGAATTTTTGGGGCTGGATGTGCAGGGGAAGGAACCGGCCCCGACGATCCTCGTTAGGATATTCCATGATCCCCGAGCAAGGAGCACCAAGCAGGGGGTGTGGAACTGGGGCATGGTGACACCGGGACCCTCCCGCTGTCCCCTCCATCACCCCGCGGGTCTCCTTCCCGCAGCAATCCCAGTACGGCGAGGACGTCTGCGTGGTGGCTTTCTCCGGGCTGGACATCCCCCCTCCGGCCGGTCCCCTCTGGATTTTGGGCGCCACCTTCATCGGTCACTACTACACCAAATTCGACCGGCGCCACAACCGCATCGGCTTCGCCACCGCCCGCTGAGGGCCGGGGGGCCGGGCTGGGGGCGCAGAACCAGCCTGGAGGATGCGGGAAGCAGAGAAAGAACAGCAGCTCCCTTCCAGCTCTGCCACCTCCCCTCCAAATCTCGCTGTTCCCGCTCCAAACCCCCGCGGCATTCCCGGGAGCCGAGCCTGGAGCGGGGCTGTGAATCCCATCTGGATCCTCCGGGCGCTTTTAGGGCGATATTCGATGGCAGGAGCAGCGCACAGCGCAGGGATTTGCTGCTGGTGCGGCTGAGGGACCTCTGGGACTGCTCGTGTTGTTCCTAAATCGGGGGCGATAATCCGTGTTTAAGGATGGTTTTAGCCGGTGTCAGCCCTGCCCCTCTTTGTGAGTTTGATATTAAACAATTTAAAGCACCAGGAGGATGAGAGGAGGGCTGGTCTTGCAGAGGAGGGGGGTCAGATATTTATATTTAGGGAACTGGGCCACAAATGCCCCTGTGCCAAGAGCCACAGCTTCATTTGTGCCCCTTTCACCCCACAAGGGTGCAATGCCCTCCCCAGCTCCTGCGGGCAAACCAAGGGCTCTGCAATGCTCTGGGATGGTGACAGGAGCCCTGGGTGTCCCCTTGGGGACAGGGTCAGAGCTGTGCCACAGCTCCCCTTCAAAGAGGGGACAGTTCCTGCGGGTCTGTGTGACACAGGATGGTGGCTCCCATCCCAGGGTCTCTTTTCAGGGAAAATCAGAGGTTTTTCTCTGTCCTGGGTGTGGAGATGCCCCTGGAGGTGCCCCCTGTGCCAGCTGGCCTGGAGGGAGGGACAGGGCCCTCTCCCAGATGGGGGGACATTCCCAGTTCCAGATCCCCATGCCAGGGGAACAAGGGCTGGCCTCCAGTTTGACCAGTTCAGGCAGCTGGGAGTGGGAAAGCTGCTCCTGGAGTGAATCAGGATCTCACCATGGAGGTGGCAGGAGCTCCTCACCCTCGGAGCTGCAGAGCTGAGGAATTCCCAGTGCTGAGGAACCCCAGAGCTAACAATTCCAGCACCAAAAAATTCCCAGAGCTGACAATTCCAACACTGAGGAATTTCCAGAGCTGAGGAACCCCGGAGGCGACAATTCCCAGCACTGGCGAGTCCCAGAGCTGACAATTCCAGTGCTCAGGAACCCCAGAGCTGACAATTCCCAGCACTGGTGAACCTCAGAGCTGACAATTCCAGTGCTCAGGAACCCCGGAGGTGACAATTCCAGCACTGATAAATTCCCAGACCTGACAATTCCACCACTTGTGAACCCCAGAGTTGACAATTCCAGCCCTGAGGAACCCCAGAGCTGACAATTCCAGCACTGATAAATTCCCAGAGCTGACAATTCCAACACTGAGGAATTCCCAGAGCTGACAATTCCAGCGCTGCCAAATTCCCAGAGCTGCCCAAATCCCCTCTCAGCCTCAGGGATATTTGGGAAGGAGATCCAGTGGCTGCTGAGCGACCCTTCCAGCACCTCCCCCTAAGCTCCCAGCCCTTTATCCATCCATCCCAGCCTGGATCCTCATCCCAGCCCTGCTCCCAGCCCTTTATCCATCCCTCCCAGCCCCAATCCTCATCCCTGCCCTGCCCCACGGCAGCCCCAGAGCGAGAGGATGTGCCTGGGGCGGATGTTTGTCCTTCTCTGCGGCCTCTCCGTGCTGGGACGCAGAACCGGGAGCTCTGGAGATGGGAAAATTCCGGTTCGGGGCTCCGGGAATGGGAAAATTCCGGTTCGAGGCTCCGGAGATGGGAAAATTTCGGCTCCGGGGCTCCAGGGATGGGAAAATTCCGGCTCCTTTGGCTGAGATGTGGTTTTCTTTCTGCCGCCTCCAACGCCGGGGTGGTGGCAGTGGCTCTTTGGGGCCAGGACGTGGAGGGAAGGGGCGAATTTCTGCTCTCATCCAGCGTTCCTTGAGCTGCCCAGGAGCCGGGAAGCAGCGGAAGGGAGGGATGGGACCACCAGAAAAGAGGGAATCTGCTGAGGTCAGGGCATCACATCCTTCTGAGATGCTTGGTGAGAGTCTCCCCCTTCCTACAGGAGGGAAATCCCGCTTGGAAATATCCCAACCTGACAAAACCCACCTGGAAATATCCCTAACCTGAAAAAACCCACCTGGAAATACCCCAACCTGAAAAACCCACCTGGAAATATCCCAACCTGAAAAAACCCACTTGGAAATATCCCAATCTGGAAAAACCCACCTGGAAACATCCCTAACCTGAAAAAACCCACCTGGAAATATCCCAACCCAAAAAACCCACCTGGAAATATCCAAACCTGAAAAATCCCACCTAGAAATATCCCAACCTGGAAAAACCCACCTGGAAACATCCCAACCTGAAAAAACCCACTTGGAAATATCCCAACCTGGAAAAACCCACCTGGAAACATCCCTAACCTGGAAAAACCCACCTGGAAATATCCCAACCTCCTTTGCCCGGCTCTCCACAGTCTGGAGAAGACTCGAGTGGGTGCCAAAGGTGCCCTCAGCCCCCACCGCCGCTTCTGCCACATCCCCCAGCTGGAAAAGGCCCAGCCCGGCCTAAACCGGGATGGTTTTGGCTGAGCCGGTTCTGTTCCAACCCCGCGCACTCGTTTCGAGCAGCGAGAGTTAAAATCCGCCCGAGCGGCTGCCGGGCCCCTTAAGCCGAGTTATTAACACCTCTAATCGCTGCTCCGGGGGTAATTTCCCGCAGGATGCTGCGGCCCTGCCTGCGGGGCTCCGCTGGCCCGGATTAGATCGTTCCGGCCGAGCAATTAGGCCGAGCTCAGCCCGGCAAAGCGCGGCATTAATTATGCCCGTCCCATTAACACCGACAGGGCTGGCGCTATTTACGGCAACACGGGAAAATGCCCGGCGGGGTTTTTGTCCTCCAGTTCCCTTTCCTTAAATGATTTTTCCCCAGGTCTCCAGGGTGAGTTGGGCTGGTTTCAGGCACGGCCAGCTGGAGGGGGGCACTCTGCGGGGCCGCTGTTATTTCCTCCCATAATGAAGCCGCGTCCGGCAGCTGCGGGGGCTCTGCCAGCGGGAAAATCCCGCTCTGTCCTCACCCCCAAAACCTCTTCCCGCTCCAGCTGTGAATCCCTACGGAAGCCAGCGGGCGGAGGGTGCAATGGGAGAGGTTATCCCGAGCGGAGCCCGGGGGCTGGAGCGCATCCCGTGCGTGGCTCCTCATCCTTTGTAGCCCCAAAGGAGGGAATGGGGGCTGCTCGGAGCCCCCCGGGATGGCGGAGGGGTTCAGCTGATGGATGGGGGGCATTGGGGTGGGGGTGCCGCTCCCGGTGCCGGTGCGGATCCTCTGGGGCGGTTTTGGGGTTCCGGGAATGGATGGGGAAGGCACCGGCAGCAGGTGCGGAGGGGGGGTCTCGGTGCGGGGCGGCTGCCGGGGGTGTCTGAGAGGCTCCGGGAATGGGTGAGGGAGGCACCGACAGCAGCTGCGGCACAGCTGGGGCCTGCTCCTGGTTCCGGTACCGGCCGGGCGGGTCCTGGTCCTGGTTCCGGTACCGGCCGGGCGGGTCCTGGTCCTGATTCCGGTACCGGCCGGGCGGGGCTCCCAAGACGCCGTGGATGTGATGCCCCATCCCGGTGCGGATCCTCTGCCCGGGATGCGGTCCCGGTCGGGCGCTGCGGTCGCGGTGCGGGTGGGATGCCGGTCCGCTGATACCGGTGAGGGCGGGGCGCGGGTTCCGGTGCGGGTCCGCTAATGCCCGTGCGGATCAGGTCCGGGTCTCGGCGTGCGGGGGGTGCGGGTCCCGCCCTGCCAGGGATGCCGGTCCCGGCAGGATGCGAGTCTCCGCCCGCGGTCCCGGTGGGATGCGGATCCCCTGTCCGGGATGCTGGTGCCGGTAGAATGCGGGTCCCTGCCCCCGGTGCCAGTAGGATGCGAGTTCCCGCCCACGGTACCGGTCCCGGTAGGATGCGGGTCCCTGCCCCCGGTGCCGGCAGGATGCGGAACCCCTGTCCGGGATGCCGGTGCCGGTAGGATGCGGATCCCCCGGTGCCGGCAGGATGCGGAACCCCTGTCCGGGATGCCGGTGCCGGTAGGATGCGGATCCCCTGTCCGGGATGCCGGTGCCGGTAGGATGCGGATCCCCCGGTGCCGGCAGGATGCGGATCCCCTGTCCGGGATGCCGGTGCCGGTAGGATGCGGATCCCCTGTCCGGGATGCCGGTGCCGGTAGGATGCGGGTCCCCCGGTGGCGGTGGCGGTGCGGGCGCTGCCGGGGAGGCGGGCGGGAGGCGGGCCGGTGACTCATGGCTTCCCACCGGCGGCGGCTCCTCCCCGCGTCCGCCGGCCCCGCGCAGCCCCCGGCACATGGGCCGCGGCTCCGGCAGCGCGGAGCTGGCCATGGCCGCACCGCCCGCCCGCTGCCCCGACTGCCCGCGGCCGGAGCGGGGGGGCGGCGGCGCGACCCCCACCGTGCCGCACCTCGCCATTGCGGTGGACGAGGGGGACGTGCTGCCCGGGGCGCTGCGGATCGTGCGGCGCCTCAGACCCGCCTGGGACCCGGCCACGGTGAAGACCAAGGTACGGCGGGGACCCAGAGCCGGCACACCGAGAACCGGCGGCCGCTCTCACCTGGGATCGCCCGGTGGGGCTGCGGAGCCCGGCTGGGGGGCGGGTGTGGGGTTATAGGGTCTGTCTGAGCGCGGTGCTCACCCCAAAGGGGAGTGCGGGCAGCTCAAGGGGGGCTGAGGGGCTCAGCCTGGGGGCTTTGGGGTCTGTCCTAACGGGGTTATGGGGCTCAGTCTGGGCGCTATGGGGTCTGTCCTAAGGGGGCTGAGGGGCTCAGTCTGGGCGCTATGGGGTCTGTCATAGGGGGGTTGTGGGGCTGAGTCTGGGGGTTTTGGGGTCTGTCCTAGTAGGGTTGTGGGGCTCGGCCTGGGCGCTATGGAGTCTGTCCTAGTGGGATTGTGGGGCTCAGCCTGGGGGCTATAGGGTCTGTTCTAGGGGGGTTGTGGGGCTCAGCCTGGGGGCTATAGGGGCACTGTGGGGTTTAACCCGGGGGGCTCCCGGGTCTGTTCGAGGGGGAATGCCGGCTCACCCAAGGGGTTTTCTCTTGGGTGCTGTGGAGTTCACCATGGGGGGCTGTAGGACCTGCCCCGGAGGATGTGACACCCCGTACCCCCACCCCTGGGTCTCCCCTCTGCGCCCAGAGAATAACCGGGGGTTCATCAGCTGTGCAAAGGCATGACACCCCCATCGCACCCCCCCCCCCCCCACGAGGTTTAGGGACCCCCGGGGTTGTCACCGAGCGGTGGCTGTGGGTACAAAACTGTCCCCAGGCCGCTCCCGGGAGCCGCTCTTGTTTGGGATATTTGTTGGCTCCCACATTTCCCAGGCTGCGTGGGCTGAGCCCCGCTTCGGGTGGGAGCTGGACACCAGTCCGGGACAGGGCTCGGCTGTGCGGGGCTGCCAGGGCTGTGCAGACGTGGGAATCGCTGGGGTGGCACAGCCTGGTGGCGCCGGTGCCCTCGGCTGTGCCCTGGCGCTGGGCACCGGAGCGTGCAGGGGCTGGCACTGCGTGCCCTTAAACGTCTGCACGTGAGGCAGTGTCCCCTCGGAAGGCGCGCGCTTCCCGTCATTAAAAATGTATTAATAGCCAAGTGTAATGAAATACAAGGAGCTGCACGAAAAGCCGTCTGAAAGGGCAGATGGCAGCGGGCAGGAAGCTGGGAGTTGGAGTTTGCCGGGGCAGGAAATGTTTCGCTCTGCTCGCAGAGCTCCGCGGTTGTGCAGGGACCCCGGCGCTGCCGTACCCAGGCTCCGCAGGGGTCAGTGTTCCGCAGCAGCTCGGGCGTGCGGGAGTGTGTTTTTAATTTAAAAAAAAAAAAGAAAGAAAAACACTCAGGAGTTGAGGGAAAACCCTCCCGTTGCGTTTCCCTCCATTGCTTTCCCTCCTCCCGCGTTTCCCCTCGCTCGGGATGGGATGGAGCGGGCCGGGGGCCTCAGCTGGTTCCCATTAGCGATCCCATTCCCGGTGCCCTGGAGCGCTGCCCCGCTCCCAGCACCTCGCAGGGCTGTACCAGCCTGTGCCGGTGCCTCGGGAAAATCTCCCGGGGCTCAGGAACGCGGCAGGAAGGATCTGGGAGCTCGGGCTGCCCTGCTGTGAGCTCCGGGTTGTGCCTGCTTCTCAGAGCTCCTGCTCCTCATCCTCGAGGAGTGTCTGTGAGGCTGAGTCAGGCCCCACGCTCCCAGGGAAGCACAAACTCCGCTGTCCATCCATCCATGGATTCCATCCATCCCTTCATCCGTCCATGTATTCCATTCAGCCATCCATGGATTCTATCCATCATCCATCCATCTATCCATGGATTCCATCCATCCATCCATGTATTCCATCCATCCATCCATGTATTCCATCAATCCATCCATGGATTCCATTCATCCATCCATGGATTCTATCCATCATCCATCCACCTATCTATGGATTCCATCCATCCATTTATGGATTCCATCCATATGGATCATTCCATTCATTATGGATCCACCCATCCATCCATCCATCCATCCATCCACCCATCCATCCCTCACTCAGAGATAACAGCGGCCACACCGCGGAGCCGAAGCCGTGGAAGGTTTCCATGCAGGGTTGGACGTTTTTAGCCCAGATTTGGCCACAAGTTGCCCTGCTGGTGCCCAGCCCAGGCTGGGGGTGCTGAGGCATGTTTTGGGAATGTTTTGGGAATGCTGAGGGATTCTCCCGGCAGGTGCAGCACCAGCAGTCGGATTTTGCTGCCTCACCCCGGCACTTTGGCACAGGACTCGCTTTGCGTTTAATCCCTGCAAAGTTCACGGAGTGTCGCTCCTCCCCTCTGTCCCTGCTGCCACCCGGCTGCAGGAGGGAAGGATTTGGGGTGGCTGCAGCCTGGACCCACAGGGAACAGCACCCAAGTGGCCGCTGCCACCCTTGGGAGCCACCCCCAAACCCAGCAAGTCCCTGCAGGTCACCCACGAGCCACGTGTGTATTTCCAGAGTCTGTGGCCTGGAATTCAGGCGGGATAAGGCTCAATAATCCCATTAAACCTGCTGGAAAGGGCTGCCCGGGCTGTGGGGCAGCAGAACAAAGCGGCACCAAGGATTTCACTCCGTGTGGAGCCGCTCACCTGTGGGTGACCCACACGTGGCCCGTGGTGACACCTGCACGGACAGGATGTGACACCTCTGCTGCCTGAATTTCCAAACTCTGGGGCCTGGCAGGACAAGAGGAGGAAAGAGCTGAGCCCCAGGGTGAACCCAGATTATCAGCTCGGGGAAAAGCAGCTTGAGAAGGCTCTGCTGCAGCTGAGGGGCAGCACCCCTGAGCATGGGGCTGCGGCCTTGCCCTGCTCACCCCAAATCCAGCTGTGGAATGGGGGTGTCAGCCCTGTCTGGCTTGGAGGGTTCTCATTCCAGTGCCTGGAGTCTCCCCTGGGAGGCTGCTGGGGAGCCCTATATATAGGAACCCTATAGGGGAGCGTGGGTTGCTGAGTGGGATGTCTAAAATTATCCGTCCCATCCCTGAGCTGCACGGCTGCCGGAGCAGGAGCCCTAAACCCCCTCCTGCTCCAGCTCCTCCATCCCACAGGGGTGAGGGAATCGTTCCCATGGGGAGCCACAGCACCCCAGAGAGCCCAGGTTGGAGCTGGGACTTTGGGGGGCAATGGGACAGGGGTTTCTTGTGGGGTGACAGTGCCCTAAATCCTCTCAGTGCCCCAGAGGTGCTGAAATATCAGTGGGATGAGGGAATCATTTCCAGGGGAGGCACGGAGTGCTCAGCTTGGAGCTGAACATCCCATGGTGTGGGGGAAGTGGGGCAGGGAATTTCTGTGGGGTGACAGAGCCCTAAACCCCCTCAGTGCCCTGTAAGTGCCCAAAATCCCAGTGGGATGAGGGAATCATTCCCAGGGGGAACTGGCACAGGGACAATGGGACAGGGAATTCCTGTGGGGTGAAACATCCCCAAACCCCCTCAGTGCCCTGTAAGTGCCCAAAATCCCAGTGGGATGAGGGAATCATTCCCAGGGGGAGCTGGCACAGGGACAATGGGACAGGGAATTCCTGTGGGGTGATAAAGCCCTACACCTCCTCAATGCCCTGGAAGTGCCCAAAATCCCAGTGGGATGAAGGAATCATTCCCATGGGGACCCGCAGCACCCCGGAATGCCCAGTTTGGAGCTGGCATGGGGGTGATTTCTCATGGAGTGACAGATCCCTAAATCCCCTTGGTGCCCCAAAGGTTCCCAAAATCTTGGCAGGATGAAGGAATCCTGCCCAGGCAGAGCAGCAGCACCCCAAAACTGGCACGGGGACAATGGGACAGGGATTTCCTGTGGGGTGACAGAGCCCTAAACCCCCTCAATGCCCTAGAAATGCCCAAAATTCCAGTGGGATGAGGGAATCATTCCCATGGGAACCTGCAGCACACCCCAAAACTGGCACGGGGACAATGGGACAGGGGTTTCCTGTGGGGTGACACATCCCCAAACCCCCTTGGCTGCCCCGGAGGTGCCCAAATCCTGGCGGGATGAAGGAATCCTGCCCAGAGGAAGCCGCAGCACCCCAAAACTGGCACGGGGACAATGGGACAGGGGTTTTCTACAGGATAACACGCCCCCAAACCCTCTTGGCTGCCCCGGAGGTGCCCAAATCCCGGCGGGACGGGGCTCGGAGCCCGGCTCGGAGCGGCAGCAGCCCCGGCATGTGCGCGGGCAGGCGGCCAAGGCGCAGCTCGGGGAGAACAAAACTCCCTTTCCATCTGCGAGGAGCCATCAGCGCGGTGACACGAGATGTCCCCAGCAGCGACATCCCCGCCTATCAGCGCCCCGGCCCGCGGGGAGGGCCGGAGGAGGGCACGGGGGGTGGTGTTTGCCCCGGCCTTGTTTTCAGCCTCGTTGCGTGGTTTATTTATTTATTAGGGTTTTTTTTTTAATTTCGTGCCAATTGATGGTGATTTTTCTCCTCCCCCGCGGGGAGATGTTCCCGGGGCTGCTCCCGTGCCAAGCGTGCTGGTGGCACATCTGGCCTGAGCTGTTCCTGAGGTATCCCTGAGCTGTTCCAGGTGAAAAATAACAGGATTTTTACCCAAACCACCCCTTCTGCATTCAGACCTGTTCCTGAGCTGTTCTAGGTGAAATTAGCCAGATTTCCACCCAAACCACTCCTTCTGCATGCAGAGCTGTTCCTGAGATATCCCTGAGCTGTTCTAGGTGAAATTAGCAGGATTTCCACCCAAACCACCCCTTCTGCCTGCAGAGGTGTTCCTGAGATATCCCTGAGCTGTTCTAGGTGAAAAATAACAGGATTTTCACCCAAACCACCCCTTCTGCATGCAGAGCTGTTCCTGAGCCATTCCAGGTGAAAAATAAGAGAATTTTCACCTTCTACCAGCAGAGCCCTGAGCCTCAATCTTCCCAAATGCATCTCACTCCCGCAGGAACATTCCTGGCTGTTCTGCCTCGCTCCTTTTCCTCATTTTTGCCATTTCCACGAGGTTTTCCCACCGGGTGGAAGGCAGACATGGGGTTCCCCTATTCCCAGCCTCACCCAGGTGTCACCCCCGGCTGTGTCTGTCCCCACGCAGCTCTTCACTGACGGCATCACCAACAAGCTGGTGGCCTGCTACACGGACGAGGGCATGGGGGACGCGCTGCTGGTGCGGGTGTACGGCAGGAAAACCGAGCTGCTGGTGGACAGGGAGACGGAGCTGAGGAACTTCCAGGTGCTCCGAGCCCACGGCTGCGCCCCCGACCTCTACTGCGCCTTCCAGAACGGGCTCTGCTACCAATTCCTGCCGGGAATCGCGCTGGGACCCGACCACGTGAGGGATCCTCACATCTTCAGGTGGGTGGGACATTCTGGGGGGATCCTCCCCTAATTTTTCCCCAATTTTCTGGGTGTTTGTTCTGTGTTTGCAGCTCTGCCCTGGCTGCCATGGGTGGGGGGCACTGGTGTGCCCAGTCCTGGGATAAATGGGGGTAGAGGGGTGAATGGGTGAAAGTGTAGCCAGAGTTGTCAAAATTATCAAATTTCTGATTTTTATCAGGTTTTGGTGAAGCCAAAAACCTGATTCCAATTTTCTTGGGAAGCTGGAATCATGGTTTCCTGGGAATCTGGAATTTAGGTTCTCTGGGAAGCTGGAATTAAAGTTTGCTGGGAAGTTGGAATTAAGGTTTTCTGGAAAATTGGAATTAAATTTTCCCGGGAAGTTGGAATTAAAGTTTCCTGGGAAGTTGGAATCATGTTTTTCTGGGAATCTGGAATTAAGGTTCTCTGGGAAGCTGGAATTAAAGTTTCCTGGGAATCTGGAATTTACGTTCTCTGGGAAGCTGGAATTAAAGTTGACTGGGAAGCTGGAATTAAGTTTTCCCAGGAATCTGGAATTAAGGTTCTCTGACAAGCTGGAATTAAAGTTTCCCAGGAAGTTGGAATTAAGGTTTCCTGGGAATTTGGAATCAAAGTTTCCTGGGAATCTGGAATTAAGGTTTCCTAGGAAGATGGAATTAAAGTTTCCTGGGAAACTGTAATTTAGATTTTCTGGGAAGCTGGAATTAAGGTTCTCTGGGAATCTGGAATTAAGGTCTCTGGGAAGCTGGAATTGAGGCTTCCTGGGAAGATGGAATTAAAGTTTCCTGGGAAGCCGGAATTCCTCGGGAAGCAGCGTTTAGGGCTGAATTTTCCCTGAAAATGGCAATTCTGAAATGCTCCAGAGACCAATCCCTGGCATGGAATGAGCTGTGCTAACCCTGTGTTTTAAGCAGGTGTGGGATCTCAGTCTCTCAGAACTGGGGTGCAGGGTGAACAAGACTGCCCCTGGGGGGCTCGGGAGTCCTGGAATGTTGCCAGAAATGTCTGGTGGCTGGACTTTGATCTTTTAGGGAACCCTCTGAAGACACCCCCAAATCTCTTCTGGGGGATTTTGCAGGGGGGTGGATTTTGAGGATTTGGGATCACCCCTCACCCTTCCCCTGTGCCCCATGCCAGGCTGGTGGCGCGGGAGATGGCGCGAGTGCACGCCATCCACGCCAACGGGAGCCTCCCCAGGCCCATCCTGTGGCAGAAGCTGCACAAATACCTCAGCCTGGTGAAGACAGAGCTCAGCCCAAAGGTATCCAACGCCAGGTAAAGGCAGAGGGATCCCACAGAGCCAGGCTCTGCCTCGGGCACCCCCTGCCCACCCTCTGGGGCCGAGGTTCCCAGGTAAAGCCTCTGCGGGGATTTAGGGCTGGATTTGGGGTTGGATCCCTCTCAGAGCCACTGGAGCTCCAGCTCCTTCTTGCTGCCGATTTGGGTGGGATTTCAGCTTTTTTGGAGCTCTGGATGTGTCTGTGCAAGATCCAGCTGGAGACACAGCCTCCCATTGCTGGAACAATCCTCGTCCTCCTCCCTGGAGAATAAAGCCTAGCTCAAGCCCTGCTGAGCTGACAATTAACTCCAAAAATTAAACCACTCAATTCCCACTTCCAGCCAGCCCATCCCGCTTTTTGGGGCGGCTGTTTTGGCCCGGCAGGTGGGAGCTGGGGTGTCTGGGAAGGATTTGGGCAGCCCCAAGAGGAGCAGGAGGTGAACGAACCCCGGGCAGGGCAATGATTAACCCGCGTCAGGAACCAGACGGGCTTTTCTCAGCGCCCGCCGGGCCACGGGCAGACTTTACCCACCCCGCGCCTTCCTCGAGGCCAATTAGGCAATCATTAACGAGCTCTCTTCTTGGAACCTCTCCTGAGGTTACCAGAGTCCAAAACAACCCCGGGTGCTCGGGGAGAGAGCGCTGGGTGGGTTTGGGGAGTGGGCGTGTGGGTTTTGGGGATAAGGGATGTGCTGAGGATGAGGTGGGGTGGGTGTCTGGGTACCAAACCTGGTCCCCTCCCCAAAAACGGCCTGGTTAGCCTCTCTTTGTGTCATTAGTGGGGTCGTTTGTAAGGCAAGAGAGGGAAAGTTGGGGAAATTCTGCCCCTGAGCCCCAAGGAAAGCGCTGGAAACTGGGGAAATTCTGCTCCTGAGCCTCCAGGGAAATGCTGGAATTTGGGAAATTCTGCTTCTGTGACCCCAGAGAAGCGATGGAGGCCAGGGAAGAGCAATTCTGCCCCTGTGGCCCCAGAGAAGAACTGGAAACTGGGGAAATTCTGCCCCCAAATCCCAAGGGAAATGCTGGAAGACGGGGAAGTTCAATTCTGCCCCCGAGCCCCAAGGGAAGGGCTGGAAACTGGAGAAATTCTGGAAGTGGGGGAAATTCTGCCCTTGGGCCTCCAGGGAAGCTCTGGAAACTGGGGAAACACCACCCCTGAGCCCCAGAGTGGCTTCCCCAAGAGCAGCAGCAATGCCACCCTGTCCCTTTTGTCCCCTTCCCCGAGCGCATCAGCAATGCCACCCTGTCCCTTTTGTCCCCTTCCCCGAGGGCAGCAGTGATGCCACCCTGTCCCTTCTGTCCCCCTCGAGAGCTTCAGCGATGCCACCCTGTCCCTTTTGTCCCCCCGACAGCAGCAGTGATGTCACCCTGTCCCTTTTGTCCTCCCAAGAGCATCAGTGATGCCACCCTGTCCCTTTTGTCCCCTTCCCCGAGAGCATCAGCGATGCCACCCTATCCCTTGTGTACCCCCAAGAGCAGCAGTGATGCCACCCTGTCCCTTTTGTCCCCCTAAGAGCTGCAGTGATGCCACCCTGTCCCTTGTGTCCCTTTTGTCCCCTCGGGCAGCCTCCCGCGGGACGTGCCCAGCCCCGAGGCGCTGGAGCAGGAGCTGGCCTGGATGGAGCAGACGCTGTCGCAGCTCGGGTCCCCCGTGGTGCTGTGCCACAACGACCTCCTGTGCAAGAACATCATCTACGACAGGACACGAGGTCGGTGTCCCCAGGGGGTGTCACTGGGGGTGTCACTGTCAGCAGTCACAGAATGATCCTATCCAGGTGCTTTTGTTGAAGAGCTCTGGGTGTCAGGGGTACCAACTCAAATCTGACTCCCACATGGGTTCAAATGAACACATTTTTATATTTTTATCTTTATATAACTGCATATTAATTATTAAACTTATATTGTTCTGTTGTATACAATGATTTTATCCAAGCACGGATTCTTGTAATTTCCATCAAACCCCCCAAACATAGTTTCTCATGATTCTTGTTACAATTAAAGAATAATTATATCTAATTACCAATCAGTCATTGCATTGAACGATAATTATATCCAATTACCAATCAGTCATTGAATTTAACAATCATATCATTTATCATATTTATATGAGAAATATGATCAATATTATAATAATTATAAATATAATGAACATAAATATAATAAGTTTATAAATATGATAATATAATGACAATATAAATATATTTTATATAGTTAAATATTATGTTATAATATTTATAAATATTACAATAAACATAAATATGATAATTTTATAAATACGATAATATAATGAAAATATAATAGAAATATATCTACATTCATTTAAATATTATGTTATAACATTTCTAAATATTATAATAAACATAAATATAATAAATTTATAAATATTATAATGTAATGAAAATATAATAGAAATATATCTACATTCATTTAAATATTATGTTATAACATTTCTAAATTTTATAATAAACATAAATATAATAAATTTATAAATATTATAATGTAATGAAAATATAATGGAAATATATCTACATTTATTTAAATATTATGTTATAATGTCTAAATATTATAATAAATATAAATATAATAAATTTATAAATATTATAATGTAATGAAAATATAATAGAAATATATCTACATTCATTTAAATATTATGTTATAATGTCTATAAATATTATAATAAATATAGATATAATAAATTTATAAATATGATGATATAATAAAATATAATGAAAATATGTATGTGTTTATATTATAATATTTATAAATATTATAATATAGATATTAACATATTTATAATATATAATTTATCATACCATATAATAATTTCATTTATCATAGTCATTAAATTATTATACAGGTGCAGTTTCACATGATCCAGTAAAACCCAACATTTTCCCAGAGCCTACCAGCTCCCCTTTCCAGCTCCCCTGAATATCCCAGGGGATATTGATGATGATGATTTTGGAATCATTTTATCCCTGTGCTGTCACCCCCTCTGTCCCCACCCCTGACCATTTTTGTCCCCGCAGAGCGCGTGCGCTTCATCGACTACGAGTACACAGGCTACAACTACCAGGCCTTCGACATCGGCAACCACTTCAACGAGTTCGCAGGTGGGGAGCGCCTGGGGGCCCCCAAAGTCCCCCCATCCCTGGCCCAGGGTGTTCCCATTGCTGGGTTGGAGGAGGGAATTGTCCCCAGTGCCGTACTGGGAAATGGGATGTCCCTGTTACTGGGAATTCCACCTCCCATATTGGGAAATGGGGTGTCCCCAGCCCTGGGATGGACAGGGAGTTATCCCCAGTGCCATACTGGGAAATGGGGTGTCCCTGTTACTGGGAATTCCACCTCCCATATTGGGAAATGGGGTGTCCCCAGCCCTGGGATGGACAGGGAGTTATCCCCAGTGCCATACTGGGAAATGGGGTGTCCCTGTCACTGGAGGTGGAGAAGCGAGTTTCATTCCCAGTCCCATACTGGGAAATGGGGCGTTCCTATTACTGGGAAATGGGGTGTTCCTGTTATTGGGATGGAGGAGAGAATTTTATCCCAGTCTCGGGATGGGAAATGGGGTCTCTTCATCCCTGGGGAACACCTGGGGGCCCCCAAAGTCCCCCCATCCCTGGCTCAGGGTGTCCCCATTACTGGGATGGACAGGGAGTTATCCCCAGTGCCATACTGGGAAATGGGGTGTCCCTGTTACTGGGAGTTCTGGGTTCCATACTGGGAAATGGAGTGTTCCCATTACTGGGAGTTCTGGGTTCCATACTGTAAAATTGGGTGTTCCTGTTACTGGGAATTCCCAGTCCCATACTGGGAAATGGGGTGTCCTCATTACTGGGATGGAGGAGGGAATTATCCCCAGTTCCATACTGGGAAATGGGGTGTTCCTGTTACTGGGAATTCCATGTTCCATATGGGAAATGGGGTGTCCCTGTTACTGGGGGGTGGAGAAGGGAATTTTATTCCCAGTCCCATATTGGGAAATGGGGTGTCCCCATCCCTGGGATGGAGGAGGGAGTTATCCCCATTCCCATACTGGAAAATGGAGTGCTCCTATTACTGGGAATTCCCAGTCCCATATTGGGAAATGGGGTGTCCTTGTTACTGGGATGGAGGAGGGAGTTATTCCCAGTCCCATACTGGGAAATGGAGCATCCCTATTTAATGGGAATTCCACGTTCCATACTGGGAAATGGGGTGTTCCTGTTATTGGGATGGACGAGAGAGTTTTATCCCAGTCTTGGGGTGGGAAATGGGGTCTCCCCATCCCTGGGGATGGAGGAGGGAGCCGTACCCCAAATCCTTCAGCAGGAAATGGGGCTGCCCATGGTCACAGGGGGGTCTCTGCTGCTCTTAGGCACCCGAATGCCCCTGGGGTGCCAATCCTGGCTCCTCACCCCAAAGACCAGCAGCCGATCCTGGGTTTGTGCCTGGCTGGGCTTGTGCTCTCCTCGCTTTACCATGGAGACCCCAATCCCTCCCTGTCCCCTCCGTGTCCCCCCTGTGTCCCCCCAGGTGTGAAGGAGGTGGATTACGGCCTCTACCCCAGCAGGGAGACGCAGCTGCAGTGGCTGCACTCCTACCTGCAGGCCTACAAGGAGCTCACCCAGGGCCACCCAGGTGACAGCCAGGTGTCCCAGGAGGAGCTGGAGACCCTCTACGTGCAAGTGAACAAGTTCTCCTTGGTGAGTGAGGAGGAGGAAGGAGCCATCCTCCTTGTGTGAAAACACAGCCCAGGGGATTTGGGAGTGAGGAGTTCTCTGCTCTTGGCCTTCCAGCTGGTGCCAGCTTGAGGGCTTGGAGACATTGGGGACAGGCTGTGCCACGGGGCCTGGCAGTGCCTCAGGGACACCGAGCCCCTGGGCAAGGTCAGGGGGGTGTGTTGGGGACAGCTGTGCCCGACAGGGTGGCCTTGGGCAGCCCTTCAGAGGGGTCAGGCACGGCTGGAGTGAGGAAATCCTCTTTGCTCACTGCCAGGGGCGGTTCCTGCCAATTTTCTGGAAATTTCGGGTGAAATACTCTCTGTTTTCCCAGCAGCACAGGGGTGGCACCCCAAGTTCAGCACCCTTCCTGCTGCCATCCCTCGTTCCAACCAGGAGCAGACTCTGGAGCCACAAAAATCCCACTGTGGGTCCATGTCCTGTCCTTGTCACAGCCCTGGGGATTGGGGCACGGCGGTTTCTGTCCCCATGGCTGTCCCCTGATCTTTGCTCTGTCCCTTGCAGGCGTCCCATTTCCTCTGGGCCTGCTGGGGGCTGATCCAGGATAAATATTCCACCATAGACTTTAATTTCTTACGGTGAGTGCGCTCAGGCTGCCCCCAGGGAAATGGGTGGAGAGGGAGGAGCCCGGGGAGGGTCCCGGGGAGGATCCCTGGGGAGGATCCTGGGGAGGATCTTGGCAATTCCTGGGGAGAATCCTGGGGAGGATCCCAGGGAAGATCCTGGGGAAGATCCCAATGGTGTCTGGGGAGGATCCCAGCAGTTCCTGGGGAGGATCCTGGGGAAGATCCCAGGGAAGATCCTGGTGGTCCCTGGGGAGGATCCCAGGGAGAATCCTGGCTTTTCCTGGGGAGGATCTCGTCTGTCCCTGGGGAGGATCCTGGGGAAGATCCCAATGGGCTCTGGGGAGGATCCTTAGGAGAATCCCAGTGGTCCCTGGGAAGAATCTCAGGGAGGATCCCAGGGAAGATCCCAAGGATCTTGGGGAGGATCCTGGTAGTCCCTGGGGAGGATCCCAGGGAAGATCCCGGTAATCCTTGGGGAGGATCCTGGGGAAGATCCCGATGGTTTCTGGGGAGGATCCTTGGGAGAATCCCAGTGGTCCCTGGGGAAGATCCCAAGGAGGATCCCAGGGAGGATCCTGGTAATCCATGGGAAGGATCCTGGGGAAGATCCCAATGGTGTCTGAGGAGGATCCTTGGGAGGATCCCAGTGGTCCCTGGGGAGAATCTTGGGGAGGATCCCAGACAAGATCCTGGTAATCCCTGGGGAGGATCCCAGGGAAGATCCCAAGGATCCTGGGGAAGATCCCATTAGTCCTTGGGGAGGATCCCAGGGAAGATTCTGGCAGTCCCTGGGGAGGATTCTGGTGGTCTCTGGGGAAGATCCCAGTGAGAATCTCAGGGAAGATCCTGGTAATCTCTGGGGAGGATCCTGGGGAAGATCCCAAGGATCCTGGAGAGGATCCTGATGGTCCCTGGGGAGGATCCTGGCAGTCCCAGGGGACACGAGTGTCTCAGAGCCACCCCTCCTCTCTCTCTCTCTCTTTGCAGATATGCAAAGCTAAGGTTCAAACAGTACTTCAAGATGAAGCCGGTGGTCACAGCCCTACAGCTCCCCAAGTAGGGGCACCCCGAGCTCTCCTGTCCTGGCCGTGCCCTCGCGCCCCCTTCACCCCTTTGCCCAGGGGGACACGAGGAGCCCTACCTGGCCACCCCCGTGCCAGGAGAGCCTGGCCACCCCCAAGAGTGGACCATGAGATGCTGGAGAGGACCAGGGCCCCGGCGAGGCCCCAGCCCATGCCAGGACGCCTCACCATCGCCTTAACGCCGAGCCCCGCTCGGCCCCGGTGCCCGGCAGGTCCGTGCCCCGCTGGCACTGCTGCTGCTGCTGCTGCTGCCTGGCACTGTCCCTTCCCCTGCGCTGGCCCTGAGGGGGACACGGGGCCACCCCAGAGCTGCCCCACTTTGGTCACTTTGGCTGTCCCTTCCTGCCCTGATGGGTGTCACCCCCAAGCTGCGCTGTCCCAGGTCCCTGCTGGCCCCAGGGACAGGAGCCTTGTCCCTTTGGGGTGGCAGCTGCGGGCAGAGGGGCAGTGCCAGCCGTGAGCCCCTGGCACCAGTGGGGTGCTGCTGGTGGGCACTGGGTGTCCCCACAGCTGCCCCTGCCTGTCCCCACCATCCCCTTGGCTTGGTGGCTTCTCCCCGCCCTCATCTCTGCCCTCAGGATCAGGGGACATCCAGGGGGGTTTGTCCTGCCTGTCCCCACCCATCCAGCTCCTGGCAGCAATCAGGGCCTTGTGCCACCCCTGGCCATGAGGACAAGGTGACTGTCCCTTTTCTGGGCACAGGGATGTCCCCCAGAGCCCTGTGCCACCCCTGGCTATGGGGACAAGATGACAGTCCCTTCTCTGGGCACAGGGATGTCCCCCAGAGCCCTGTGCCACCCCTGGCTATGAGGACAAGGTGACTGTCCCTTCTCTGGGCACAGGGATGTCCCCCAGAGCCCTGTGCCACCCCTGGCTATGGGGACAAGATGACAGTCCCTTCTCTGGGCACAGGGATGTCCCCCAGAGCCCTGTGCCACCCCTGGCTATGGGGACAAGGTGACTGTCCCTTTTCTGGGCACAGGGATGTCCCCCGGGTGGCCCCAGGGCTGCTGGCACATCCCTGTTTGTTTTAAAGGTAGCTGCAATTTGGGACTGGTGGATCTGGGGGTGCTCCTGTCCCTTCTGTACCCCGAGATGTCCCCATCCAACCCAGGCCCCCCACTCTCTGCTCCAAAAAAGTCACTTTTATTGTGCCAAGGGCCAGGGGGAGGAACGATTGTAAACAGGGATGTGAAATATACAGGTTAAGTTACTCGTCATCTTATTAACAAAATAAAGCTCTATCTATATTTACAATCTTTTAAAAAACAGAACGAAACAAAACGACAAAAAAAAAAAGAAAAAGAAGTGGAAGAGAGACACAGGAAGAGCTGCAGCTGTGGGGAGGGGACACATCTGCTTCCAGTCACTCTTCAGCACAGCCTGGCCCAGCCTGGAGCTGGGACCCCTCCCCAGGGACCCCTGTCCTTCCCAGGGACCCCTGTCCCACCTCAGGAACCCCTTTCTATCCTTAGGGACCCATTTCCATCCCCAGGGGACCCTGTCCTTCCCCAGGGACTCCTCCCCATCCCCAGGGACCCCTGACCCTCACTGGGGACCCCTGTCCCACCTCAGGGACCCCTGTCCCTCCCCAGGGAGTTTGGAATAAATAAAGCACTGACAGAGGGCAGGGGAGCAGGGAGGGGCTGGCTGGGCAGGGCAGGGGCTGGCGGGATGTCCCCTGGGGTAAAAGATGTCCCCATGGCAGTGTCCCCATGGCAGTGTCCCCACGGCAGTGTCCCCATGGCAGTGTCACCATGGCAGTGTCACCATGGCGGTGTCCCCAGCACTGGAATGCTGGTGCTGCTGAGATTCGGATTCCCAGCCCGGCTTGGGGACAAGGGGACAGAGGGACAAGGGGACAGAGGCTGGTGCCCACTTTGTGCAGCCTCGAGCCCGGGTGGCCACAGTGTCCCCAGCACTGTCACTGTCCCTGTGATGTCCCCAGCACTGTCACTGTCCCAGCGCTGTCACTGTCGCCGCGGTGTCCCCAGGACAGTGACAGTCCCGGCGGTGTCCCCGCGGTGTCCCCAGCACTGTCACTGTCCCCACGCTGTCGCTGTCCCCGCGCTGTTCCCGGCTCTGCCACACGGCGGTGCCGGAGCCCCGCGCACGGAGCGACAGCGGGGACACGGCCGGGGAGAGAGCGGCTGAGCACGGGGAGACACGGCACACACACCTGGGCACTGCTACACACCTGGGCACTGCCACACACCTGGGCATGGCACACACAGCTGGGCACTGCCACGCAAAGGGACTCTGCACTCACCTGGGCATGGCACGCACACACCTAGGCATGGCACGCGCAGATGGGCACTGCCACACAAACACCTGGGCATAACACAAACACACCTGGGCACTGCCACACACCTGGATGTGGCACACACACCTGGACATGGCACACACACCTGGACACTCCGTATGCACAAAGGGACATGGCACACATACCTGGACGCTGCCACACAAAGGGACACTGCACTCACCTGGACACGGCGCACACACACACGTGGGCACTGCCACACAACTGGACACTCCTAACTCTCACCTGGACATTGCACAGCCACACCTGGACATGGCACACACACCTGGGCACATTCTGTATGCACAAAGGGACATGGCACACTCACCTGGGCACTGCCACACACCTGAGCATGGCACACACACCTGGACGCTGCTACTCACCTGGGCACTGCCACTCACCTGGACCTGGACACCCCTAACTCTCACCTGGACACCGCCATGCCCAGCCACACCCCAGCCCCTGGAGCAGGCTCTGACCACCCCAAGCTCATTTTCCTCATCATTCCTTTCCCTCACAGCCGTTCCCTCTCCCTCCCTCTCACCCCTCAGGGCTCAGGTGCACCCGGGCTGCGGTGCCAGGTGCCCGGGCACAGGCGGGCACATCCCCGCCGAGGGAGGGCTGGCAGGGCAGGAACAGCCCCTGCTTTATTCCCAAACTGGGCCAGAGCTGCCGGCAGCACAAAGAGCCCCGAGGAGCCCTTGGCTGGAGCCGGGGCCAGGCTGGAGCTAAAATTGGCTCGGTGGGAATTCGCTGGCAGGAGCCAAAGAGCGAGCGGGAAACGCGGAGGGGAGGTCACACCAGGATAGAGGAGGGACCAGTGTGTCCCTGTCCTGTGTCTCCGTCCTGTGTCCCTGTCCTGTGTCCCCATCCCATGTCCCTGTCCTGTGTCCCTGTCTTGTGTCTCCATCCCGTGCCCCTGTCCTGTGTCCCCATCCTCTGTCCCTGTCCTGTGTCCCCATCCCATGTCCCTGTCCTGTGTCCCCATCCCGTGCCCAGCAGTGCAGCAGGTGAGGCTCTCTCACCCACAAGTGCTGCAGGGCTGGAGATGCTCTGGAGGTTCCCTGCAGTCCAAGAGCCTCAGGTCCCCTCGGGGGTGACAGCGCAGCAGCCACAGCGTCACCAAATCTCCAGGCTCGCTGGCCTCACCTCCACGTGCCACCAAAGCAAGGCCAAGCCAGTCCTTGCCACCCAAAATCCCAGGTGGGCAGCTCCCACCCTTCTATAGGTGGGCAGCTCTGCGTGGCACCACACCAGGACACGCCCAGAGGTGGCAGCCAGCCCTGCCACTGTCCCCCTGTGTCCCCTCAGTCCGTCAGCACCACCAGCTCGCCGTCGCTCTTGTCCTCGCCCTCCGAGTCCTCGTCCTCGCTGTAGCGGTACATGTCCCCCTCGGGCACCGAGTGCCCGTCGTCGCCGGCGTCGCCGTCCTTGAGGCTGCGGGTGTTGACGATGACGGGCATGGTGGGGTCCACGCCGCGGGGCAGGTAATGCTCCAGGAGGGGCGGGGGCAGCTGCACGCCCACCGGCCGCGGGTACAGCACGTCTGAGGAGCTGGGGGGCACCTGGCTGCCCTGCGGCCTGCGGGATACGGGGTGGGTGTCAGAGGGGCAGGCAGGGCTCAGGGGGCGTCCCTTGGTCACCCCGGGAATCTATGTGGGGCAGATGGGCACCAGCCCCATGGACACCAGGTGGGCACAAACCCCATGGGCACCAGGTGAGCCCCCACCGATGGTGACCAGGTGAGGCCCCACCCATGTCGCCAGCTGGGCACACACCCATGTCACCAGGTGAGCCCCACCCCAGCACCACCTCTCTGAGCCCATGGGGTGGGGCACACAGGGTGTCCCTTATCAATTCCCCCTTATCAATCCTCTCTTACCAATTCCCATTACCAATCACCCCTTATCAATCCCCCTTTACCAATTCCCCCTTATCAATCCATGTTATCAATCCCCCTTCATCAATTCCCCTTTACCAATCCCCCCTTATCAAATACCCTATCAAGTAGCCCTGCCTGGTGTCCAGGCACCAGTTCCTCATCAATCCCCCCTTACCAATCCCCACTACCAATCCATGTTATCAATCCTCCTTACCAATTCCCCCTTATCAATCCCCCTTTATCAATCTCCCCTTCTCAATCCCCCCTTACCAATCCCCATTACCAATCCCTGTTACCAATCCCCCTTATCAATCTCCCTTATCAATCGGCCTTACCAATCCCCCTTATTGATTCCCCTTAACCAATCCCCCCTTACCAATCCCTGTTACCAATTCTCTCTTACCAATTCCTGCTTACCAATTACCAACCCTTGTTACCACTCCCCTTATCAATCCCCCTTATCAATTACCCTATCAAGTAGCCCTGCCTGGCGTCCTGACGCCGGTTCCTCATCAGCGCCTTGTACTCGCCCACGCGCAGCCGCTTGCCCTCCACGATGCAGGTGCGCTTGGGCCGCGGTTTGTATTTGTAGTCCGGGTACTTCTCCAGGTGCTGCCGGCTCAGCCGCGCCTGCTCCTCGTAGTAGGGCTGCTTCTCCTGGTTGGACATGGATTTCCAGCGGGATCCTGCGTGGGGAAAGGAGGAGAGCGTCCTCACAGGCTGCCTGAGTGAGGAGAGCGGGGTGAACCCATCCCGAGGTTGGTTGGTGCTGTTGGTTGGTTAATTAATGGTATTAATTAATGGTGTTGTTGTGGGAATGGCGCCTGGATTTACAGCGGTGCTGGTGGGAGCCGCTGGTTCTGCTGGAATATCGGGAACTGCATCCCTGAATTTCCCTGGGCATTTCCAGGGATTCATCTCCTCATTCCCTGACCTTCTCTTGTGTATTCATCCCCTCATTCCCTGACCTTCTCCAGGTCAGGGATGTCCCTCCATGGAGATGCAGAGTGGATCGCCCATTCCCAGACCTTGTTCCCATCCCTCCAGGGGATGCAGAATGGATCCCCTGTCCCTGGACCTCATTCCCATCCCTCCAGGTGATGCAGAGGGGCTCCTGCCCCAGGATCTTGTGGGGGGATGCAGAGGGGATCCCCTGCCCCAGATCTCATTCCCATCCATCCAGGGGCTGCAGAGGGGCTCCTGCCCCAGGATTTCATTCCCATCCCTCCATGGAGATTCAGAGTGGATCCCCCATCCCAGATCTCATTCCCATCCCTCCAGGGGCTGCAGAAGGGATCCCCCATTCCCAGATCTCGTTCCCATCCCTCCATGGAGATGCAGAGTGGATCCCCCATCCCAGATCTCATTCCCATCCCTCCAGGCGTTGCAGAGGTGCTCCTGCCCCAGGATCTCACCCAGGATCTTGCTGATGCTGGAGTTGTGCATGTCTGGGAAGGCCTGCAGGATCTTCCTGCGCTCATCCTTGGCCCACACCATGAAGGCGTTCATGGGCCGCTTGATGTGGTTGTTGTTCCTGGACTCCGGGAAGTGTCGGGAGCCTGCGGGGACACGCGGGATGAGGGCAGGAGCCACAGGACAGAGCCACCCTGGGGTCACCACGGTGCTCTGGCCACCCTCACCGTCCATCTCGCAGCTCAGCAGAGCCTCGTCCAGCCGGTGGGTGGGGGTCTCCTCCATCCGCTCCTTCGCCGGGGAGGAGTCGATCCCGACGGGCTCCTGCAGGACAGAGGGGTCAGGAGCCAGCCCCAGCCTGGGCACAGCTGTGCCTGGTGACACTGGGGTGGCAGAGGGGACAGTGACCACACAGAGTGACCCTCACCTTGCGGTAGGGGCTGCTCAGTGACCCCTCCATGGTGGCGCTGTGGCCGTGCAGCAGCTGCCGCGCGTCATGGATGGCTTTGGTGATGGCATCGCCCTCTCCCAGGAATCCTGGCAGGACACGGGCACCCGTCAGTGCCAGTGGTCACTCTGCTGACCACTCAATCCACCCCTATGGGCACCCATCAGTGCCAGTGGTCACCCCAGTGACCCCCCCAGAGTATCCACACCGTGGGCACCCATCACTGCCATTGGTCACCCCACTGACCACTCAACCCACCCATATGGGCACCTGTCAGTGGTTACTCTGCTGACCACTCAACCCACCCCGTGGGCACCCATCAGTGCCATTGGCCACCTCACTGACCACTCACAGTGCCCACCCTTATGGGCACCAATCAGCGTCAGTGGTCACTCCACTGACCACTCAATCCACCCCCTGTCAGTGCCAATGGTCACCCCACTGACCACTCAACCCACCCCATGGGCACCCCTCAATGCCATTGGTCACCCCACCCCACTGACCCCACCCTGCCCGTCCCAGCCGTGCCCCGGGGGTTGGTGGCACAGCGCAGGGTGACAGGGCTGTCCCTCATGTCCCCACCCAGCGGGAGGTTGGAGGGGCTGCTCTGCAGCTCCCTGCTGGCCCCGTGGCTCGGCGGCAGCGCCTGGCAGCCGCTCATCTTCAAACTGGGAGAGTTGGAGGCGCTGGGCAGCTCCGAGCCCTTGGGCTTGGCCGTCAGGTTCAGCGGCTGCGAGGTCTCCTGAGGAGGAGGAGGAGGGAGGGATGGGGGGTGAGGAGCTGTCCCCAGAGCCCCAGAGCAGAGTTTGGAAGGGTTTTGGGGGCTCTACCAGGATTTTTGGGGTTGTATCAGGGATTTTGGGGCTGTATCAGGAGGTTGGGAGCTGTACCAAGGTTTGGAGGGGTTTTTGGGGCTATATCAGGGTTTGGAGGGTTTTTTGGGACTGTATGAGGGGTTGAAGGGGGGTTTTGAGGCAGTATCAGGGTTTGGAGGGGTTTTTGGGGCTGTACCAGGATTTTGGGGGCTGTACCAGGGGTTGAAGGGGATTTTGGGGCTGTACCAGCAGTTTAAGGGGGGGTTATGGGGCTGTACCAGGGTTTTTGGGGGGCTGTACCAGGGTTTTGGGACTGTACCAAGGTTTGGGGAGCTGTAGCAGAGTTTTTGGGGGCTGTAGAAGGGTTTTTGGGGTTTTTGGAGCTGTACTGGGGTTTGGGGGGCTGTGCCAGGGGTTTTGGGGGCTGTAGAAGGGTTTTGAGGGGCTACACTAGGGTTTTTTGGGTTATACCAGGGTTTTGGGGGCTGTACCAGGGTTTGGGGGCATATCACAGGGTTTTTGGTGTTGTATCAGGGTTTTAGGGGGCTGTACCGGGGTTTTGGGGTTTCTGGGGCTGTACCTGCATCTGGAGGTGTCCCGGGCCCGCGGGTCTCTTGAGCGTGGCAGGAGGGGGGCTGTGCAGGAGCTGCACTGGGTAATCCACTGCGGGAGCAGAGGGACAGAGCTTGGGGACAGCAGGGACACGGCTGGGGGACAGCAGGGACAGCACTTGGGGACAACAGGGACACGGCTGGGGGACAGCAGGGACAGAGCTTGGGGACAGCAGGGACACGGCTGGGGGACAGCAGGGACACGGCTGGGGGACAACAGGGACAGCACTTGGGGACAACAGGGACACGGCAGGGGGACAACAGGGACAGGGCTGGGGGACAACGGGGACACGGCGGGAGGACAACAGGGACACGTTTGGGGACAACAGGGACACGTTTGGGGGACAAGGCCACCCCACAGGGCTGGGCCAGCCCCGACTCACCCGGTTTGCAGGGGATGGGCTGGATGGGCAGCGCCAGCTGGGACTCGGGGGTCACCGGCAGGGGCTGGTGGCCAGGGGTGAAGGCGGGGATCATCACGTAGGGCATGTTGACCTGCTGGAGGGGACACAGGGACACCAGATCACCTGACAGGGCACGGCAGGACACGGCTGCGGTCACAGGGACAGAGGTGTCCCCTGCCTTTACCTGGATCTGCTGCTGGAGGAGGTTGATCTTGTGCTGCTGCTGGATGAGCTGCTGCTGCTGCTTGGCGATCTGCAGAGGGGACAGTGGCATTGGTGACATCAAGGACAGTGCTGGGCTGGCCTCCAGCCTGGCAGAACCCGGCCAGCACCACAAAAAAAAGGGTGGCAAGGGGTCCCCAGGTCTGTGGGATGGGCAGGAGGAGAGGCTGAGCTGCCCTGAGCCACCTCGAGGGAGTGACACAAGTGACACAAGTGCTGACTGACAGCACTTGTGACACATAAGTTCTGAGTGTCACACCCCAGGTGTGACAGCGGTGTCACCCCTGCCCTCGGGAGAGGAAAACCCAAGGTGTTCAAGGAGCAGGTGAGCACAGGCAGGAGGCACCTGGGGTGGTTTGCTCATCTCGAGGAGCTCAACCCCCCCATCTCCATCCACCCTTGGTCCTCCCAGCACTGAGGGCTTTGGGATGGGAACACAAAATGAGACCCCAAAGCCATAACAGATCCCCAAACAGATCCCAAAGGGATCTATTCCTCTAACCAGGGAGACTGAAGACTTCGGCGTGTGAAATACGAGGCAGAAAAGTCCTAAAGCCACCAGAGCCACCACTGGGTGAGCAGGGAAGGTCAGACTGGGGAGGAATGGGAAGATCCCCACACGCCGATCCCAAAGGGACCCTGGAGGGGTGACGGTCCCCACCTGCTCCTGCTGCTGCCGTGCCAGCTCCATCTGCTGCTGCTGCTTCTCGAAGAGCATGGTGGCCATGTTCTTCTGCTCCGAGTGCGCCGTCAGCAGCTGGTCCCGCAGCGTGGACAGCTGGTTGATCATCACCAGCAGCTGCAGCTCCTTCTCCGCCAGGCTCTCCTGCGTTCCTGGGGGCAAAAAAACCCGAGTAGATGTGGGTCAGGGGGTGGGGAGAGGGTCAAGCACAAGGTGGGATGGAGGTGGTTTTGTTTAAGGAGTGTAATTCCCATTTCCTTTCACTGAGGAGATTGAAGATTTTGGGGTGGGAAATGCGAGGCAGAGGAGTCCTAAAGCCACCAGAGCAGAGCCACCATTGACCAGGGAATGCAGATTTGGGAGAAATTGAAAGATCCTCACACACTGAACCCCACCCACCATGCAGTCAGAGGCAGCAAAGATGCTCCAAAAAAAACAATTAAAAAATGGACAAATCCCAGTGAAATGCGGACATTTCCCCCCTGCTTTGGTGCTCCCAGTTGGGATACAGGACGGAGCTTGGTGGAGGTGGATCCCACCTTTCACTTCCTTGGATTCAGCCGCGTTCCGGCCCAGCAGCCGCTCCTTCCAGTCACTGGCCAGCAGCTTCTCGATGGTTGGCATCACTGGGGACAGGGACAGGGACAGGGACAGGGACAGGGAGGAGAGGACAACCACATGAGCACATCCCAAGGCTCTGCAGCACGGCTCCGTCCATCCCACAGCTCTGGGGAAATCCCAAGAGGCAGAGAAGGGATCCCTTGGGAACGTTTCCCACCTTCCTTCAGGTTCCTGTTGAAGTCCAGCTTCTCCTGGCCGCTCCCGGCCGGCTCGAAGGCGGAGCGCCGGGGCTCGGGGACATCCCCGGAGGGAGAGCGGGATTCCTGAGGGACACAGAACGTCACTGCCACCCCCAGGGACACCCCCAGCACGGCACATCCCCGTCTGGTGGGATGCAGGGAGCTGGAGCACTCTCTGCCAGGAACATTCCCTGAATCCCATCTAGAGAGCGTCATGGAAATGCTGGAATTTTCTCCCATTGTCCCCTGAGCTCCTCTCCCCTCTGAGAGCAGAGCAGGGAGAGGGAAAACCCCAGGACAATGGGAAAGGGAGGCTGAAGGGATAGGGAACACCTGGAAGGGGTTGTTAGAGGTTCCACACTGAAGATGAAAACCTCAAAGTCCAGCGACAACCCTATGGGCAAAGCTGAGGTCTCATTCCCCATTTTCCAGGGTTTTGGGGCTGAATCCTCAGGGAAACCAACCCTTCACACCCTGGGAGCTCTTGTTCCCGGTTTTCCAGGATTTTGAGCTCAATCCTCAGGGAAACCAACCCCTTCACACCCTGGGACCTCTCGTTCCCTGTTTTCCAGGGTTTTGGGGCTCAATCTTCAGAGAAACCAACCCTTTACACCCTGGGAGCTCTTGTTCCCACTTTTCCAGGTTTTAAGGCTCAAAAGAGCAGCCAAAAAAACTTGGGAAAGCCTCAAATTTCAGTGTTAATTCATCGGGATGAGGAAAAACCACGCGGAGGAGCAGCCACCACCTCTTCCATGGGATGGAGGGTCTGGAGCAGGGCTGGGGGCAGCAGCACCAAATTGTCACACTCACCTGTGGCAGGGCCTGGGGGTCGGTGCCATCCCGGGGAGGTGGCCCTGGTGGGTCCTGGGGCCGGGGGTCAGCGCTGGGGGCAGCCCCCGGGGGGGTTTCAGGGCCGCCCTCCTTCTTCTCCTCGGTCTTGACGGCGCAGTTCACCATGGTGCCCGCTCCATCCAGCTCCGGGGGTGGAGAGACGGGGCTCCTCATGGACATCCTGGGGACAGCAGGGGTGTCACCATGGGCATCCACGGGGTGTGGGCACCCGTCTGATGGCCTGGCCCTGCACTGGGTGCCCCATGGTGCAAGGACAGCGTCCCTGGGGTTTGCCATGGGCAAAGCTGAGCTCTTGTTCCTGGTTCTCCAGGTTTTTGGGGTTCAATCCTTGGGGAAACCAACCCTTCACACCCTGGGAGCTCTTGTTCCCTGTTCTCCAGGTTTTCGGGGCTCAAACCTCAGAGAAACCAACCCTTTACACCTTGAGAGCTCTTTTTCCTGATTTTCCAGGATTTTGGGGCTCAGACCTCAGGGGAACAAACCCTTCACAATCTGGGAGCTCTTGTTCCCAATTCTCCAGGTTTTTGGGGCTCAATCTTCAGGGAAACCAACCCTTCACACCTTGGGAGTTCTTGTTCCTGGTTCGCCAGGTTTTTGGGGCTCAATTCTCAGAGAAACCAACCCTTTACACCTTGAGAGCTCTTTTTCCTGATTTTCAGTTTTTGGGGCTCAATCCTAAGGGAAATCAACTCTTCACACCCTGGCAGCTTTTTTTTCCTGGTTCTCCAGGTTTTTGGGGCTCAATCTTCAGGGAAACCAACCCTTCACACCTTGGGAGTTCTTGTTCCTGGTTCGCCAGGTTTTTGGGGCTCAATTCTCAGAGAAACCAACCCTTTACACCTTGAGAGCTCTTTTTCCTGATTTTCAGTTTTTGGGGCTCAATCCTAAGGGAAATCAACTCTTCACACCCTGGCAGCTTTTTTTTCCTGGTTCTCCAGGTTTTTGGGGCTCAATCCTTGGGGAAACCAACCCTTCATACCTGGAAATGGAGGAATAAATTCCTAAAGGCAACCCAGAGATCCCAGAGATTGGGATTGAGGGACAACATGAGGGACTTTAATGCCACATCCAGCAAGCCCAGGCTCAGGGTGACAGGGACCAGCACCTGAGGGGTCCGTCACAGCTCCAGGTGCCGTGCCTGGAAAGCCATCGGAGCAGCCGCGGGTTTCCCGATCCAACGGGAAGGGGAAATCCTGGCTCTGCCTAACAATGGCTGGGACGGCACCAGAACAGCTCCTCCAGGAACCCCTGGCATGGGAGGGAGCTGGGACTGGAACTGGGCACCAGAATGGCTCCTCCAGGAGTCCCTGGCACGGAATGGATGTAGGGCCAGGAGTGGGCAGCAGAACGGCTCCTGTGGGAGTCCCTGCCATGAGATGGACGTAGGACCAGCCGCCAGAATGGTTCCTCCAGGAATCCCCAGCCATGGGATGGACCTGCGACCAGGACTGGCCACCAGAACGGTTCCTCCAGGAATCCCTGGAATGCGATGGGACCGGGACTGGCCACCAAAATGGCTCCTCTGGGAGTCCCCAGCACAGGAGGGACCTGGAACCAGCCACCAGAATGGTTCCTCCAGGAATCCTTGGAATGCGATGGGACTGAAACTGGCCACCAGAATGGCTCCTCTGGGAGTCCCCAGCACAGGAGGGACCTGGAACCAGCCACCAGAATGGTTCCTCCAGGAATCCCCAGCCATGGGATGGACCTGGGACCAGGACTGGCCACCAGAACGGTTCCTCCAGGAATCCTTGGAATGCGATGGGACTGAAACTGGCCACCAGAATGGCTCCTCTGGGAGTCCTCAGCACAGGAGGTACCTGGGGCTGGCTACCAGAACAGCTCCTCCAGGAGTCCCTGGCACAGCACCACCAAGGCTCTGCCAGGACAAGGGGCTGACCCCAGGAATGGCTCTCCCTGACCCCACAAACCCCTTTGGGTGCCAATCCCCATCCCAATCCCCATGCTGCTGGACAGACACTGCAGGAATGATGATGAGTTTTATAGGGAACAGGCTGTAGAGGACCCCAAGCACTGGCATTCCATGGGGTTTGTCCCCAAAAAATGTTTCCCACTCCTCGTTCTGTGTGCCAGGGCTGCCAAGAGCGAGTGCCAGGATCGGTGGTGGCCACAGGGATTTGCCTTCTGTGGCCACCAAGCCTCACACCACACAGCAAGAACGGGGACAAGCATTGTCCTCGCCTTTCAGCGGGAATAATGGGAAAAGGAGGCAGCTAAGGAAGGGGTTTATCCCAGAATCGGGAGCTGGGTTGTGGAACTGCCTTGCAATGGGAGCAGCACCTGCTTGGGGGCTGTCACCCCAAACCCAGCACCCTCTCCCCTCCCAGACCCCCCTCAGGAGCCCCTCAAGGCAGTTTGGGGGTGCAAAGCGGGGTGGGGAGGGCTGAGCTGGGCCGCCCGGCTTGGGGGCAGCAATTACATAACAAACAAAGCCCGGCTCAAGCTGCGAATTAATCAAACGGCTGAAAATAAAACCTTCCTCTCAGGAACTTCAAACAAAAGAAATGAAAACAACAAGGCCGGCTGGGTAATGAAAAGCCAGGGCTGTGAATAGGGGACAAAAGGAAGTGGAACAATGGGGTGTTGGACAAAAGCAATAAAGTAAAGGGAAGTGTGACAGCTCCACAATAGGGCACTGTGCTCGCCAGCCTTTCTGATCTTAGCGGGCCTTTTTTTAATCTCGGTTCCCTCGCCCTCTGCCGAACAAACCCGCCGGGTTTCCTCCCGGCCCCGCATTGCCCGGGGGCTGCCGCATCCTGCGGCGCCCCTTCCTGCCCCGGCTCACCTTGGCCCCCAAAATCCATCACCGGGAAGGACCGGCCCCGGTGGGAAGCTGTGCCCGCTCCAGCAAGGATTGGCCTTGTGGGGATGTTTTAAATGGGGAAACTGAGGCAGGAACGCACAGCACTTCAGGTGTGCGTGAAGCTCCATTTCCCCCAGAGTTTTTAGGGTTTTTTTCCATGCAAAAATCCAAATTTTGTAGTTCTGGGATGCTCCACGGCACAGAGCGATGGCTTTGGTTTGAGACAGGCACAAAATCCCATCCCAGCCCTCCCACAGGTCCTATTCCCATTGTGCTTCACCTCCCAGTGCAGCCACTGGAAGTTCACTCTTAAAATGGGGCCAGGCTTTAATAGGGCCGTGTTTGAAAGAGGCCTCCTCGAGGGTTTGTTATCCACCCCGCCGAGCAAACAAAAAAAAGGGGAAAAGGGGGAAACGGCGCTGTTATCTCATTGCGGGCTGGTCTCAGGTGTGGGCTCCGGGGCTGCCTGGGGCACACAATGGGCACGGAACAATCGCCCTGGCACGGCACTGAAAGGATCTTCTTGGTTTGTAATGCTCCCCATTAAATCCAGGGTGGGGAGGAAGGGAGGGAATGGGGTTGGGATGGAAACAGATCCCAGATCCTCATGGGATGCTTCCTTCCCTCACAGCTTTCTGGGGGCTCATCCCACAAGCCCTGAAATTCCCACTGTTCACCTTTCCTCCCAATCCCAGCCCGGCAGCTCCAAGATTTTGGGGATGGTGACAGTTTGTGTTTCCCGGTTTGTGGCCGCGAACGGCACGTCCTGCAATTCTCCCGGTGGCCGTGCCACCCTTCCTGCCCGCCAGCCAGGCCTGATCCTATCGGCAGAACAGCTCCAGGGGCTGGGAAAAGGGGATGAGGTGCCAGAAAACCCCCACCCTGCCCGGCACCGGTTTTGGGACCTGAGGGATGCCAAAATTGCGGCACTGCAGGAGTTTGGGATCCAGGAGATGCCAAAATCCCGGCACTGCAGAACCTTGGAGATCCAGGAGATGCCAAAATCCCACAGCCTGGGATCCAGGACAATCCAGGAGATGCTGAGATCCTGGCACTGCAGAAGTTTGGGGTCCAGGAGGTCCTAAAATCCCAGCACTGCAGGAGCTTGGGATCCAGATGTTGAGATCCTGGCACTGCAGGAGTCTGGGATCCAAGAAACATCAAGATCCTGGCACTGCAGGAGTTTGGGATCCAGATGTTGAGATACTGGCACTTGCAGGAGTTTGGGATCCAGATGTTGAGATCCTGGCACTGCAGGAGTCTGGGATCCAAGAAACATCAAGACCCTGGCACTGCAGGAGTTTGGGATCCAGATGTTGAGATCTTGGCACTGCAGGAGTTTGGGAATTCAAGGGGCAATGAGATTCAGAACTTCAAGAGTTTGGGGACCTAAGAGATGTGTGACCAAGAGATGCCGAGATCCTGGCACTGCAGGATCTTGGGGACCCAAGAGCCACCAAGATCCCTCACCCCATGTCACATCACTGCTGCCTCAGGGCTCATCCTGTCCCTCAATTTGGGGACAATCCCACCCCAGGGACAGCAAGGAGACCCTTGGTGAGCGGCATGCCCAGATCTTTGGGATCACTCTGCTCTCTCCTGCCCATCAGGTTCTCCCAGATCCTGGAATTCTTACTCTCCTCACTCCCAAATCTCTCCATCCACATCTCTTCACTTCAGGACCCCAACATGGTGCCCAAACACCCCCAAAAAAACCTCATCCCACCACCAGAGCCCAGGAAATTTGGCAAAACAAGGAAAAACCCGAGGAGGAAACACCAGAAGAGCAACGCCGGCACGAGCAGCAGCCTCGACACCCCTGGGAGAGGGCAGAGGAAAAAATAAAGACACACAAGGAGATTTTCCTCTTCCAGGCAGGACCTGAGGAATCCCGGCCGGCCACCGGGACAGACAATAGCCCATCTCCTGCCAGACGAGCGGGGCCGCTTTCCTGCCAGACTTGGAATGTCCTTTCGGGGCTGCTTCCAAGCGTTTCCGCCCCGGGTGTCTTCCAAGAGAGAAAAGAATGGATGTTTGCTCTGCCGTGCCCGGCCAGGGATGGCCAGGGGTGGCCCATGGCCCTGCCTGGGGGAAGTTCATGGGGCTGCTGGTGCTTCCCTGGGGATCCAGAGGACCCCGGGATTTGGGGTCATTCCCTGGGAATGGCAGGTGGGGATGGGGGATATGGGATGCGCCGACCATGCATGGGGGTGGGAGAAAGGTGGGTGAGGAAATGCAAGACCCCAGGGTTTGATGGTTTGGAAAAAATTTGGTTTTAAACCCCAAAAAGCAATGGAATGAGAATTTTCAGGCCCAAAATTGCCACCACCACCACT